GTCTTTTATTCTGCTGGACTCTCTTCATTAGTTGTCAGGTTTCTAATCCTATTTTACACAAGCAGCTAGAGGCAAAACGRAAGACAGCAGCAGCAAAATTCATGACTAAAAAGTCTATAGCATGAAGCCCACAGTGGCCCAGTTGCACACGGATTTTTCTGTCCTTCAGGGTGGGGCTTGCTTTTGGATTCACAGTGCTATTTTGAGCATTTTTCTGCATAGATGTTGTTAAAGGCAGAATAGGCTTTTTTTTTCAGGAGGTTGTGACTTATAAACAGAAAAGTAAATGGATCAATAGAATTGTCTTCCATACTTTAACACTAATGACAAGCATACCTAAGTCTTAATCCAAATCTTAATATTTCTGTTTTATAATTAATTCATTTTCTTCAGTACTTGAGATCCTTATGTAYAATATGTGATACAAAATCTACTGTACTGCCATTCCAACTATTTTTTGTGTAGAGTACAAAAATACCTATTAGTTATCCTGAGTTGGGTGCTCCTAAAAACTTCCAGTCGTGTCCTGAGTCTTTATTAAAATATTTCATCCTACTGAATTTGTGAGCAAACGATACATTCTCCTCCTGGCAGGCTGTCTGGAGGAGACATTCTCATCCATTTCAAAAACATTCACCCTAGACAGAATGTTCACAGGGATTTAATGGCTGTCTTAGAATATACTGTAGTTGGAGGTGGCATCCTTTGGAATGACCTATGAAAAATGTCAACATCTATTACAGGCCACCTCCCATATTTGAAAGATATTTCCCCCCTAGTTTGCTAAATTGCTTTGTGYAGAAGTTTTATGTTGCTGTTTGCCATCATCATCTATGTTTTTAAAAGTTGTTGACAAATTAAGAAGTATGAATTCAGCCAGCCTTGGACACCAAAATAGTTTATTTTTTTACATGCAAGTTATACTTGCAACTGGAAATCCTTCTCCACAGAAGCCTTTCACTGCATCTGATACTCTGATATTCAGGGAACTTTTTTAGTGTCTGAATATAGGTAGTTTCTTTTGTACTTTAATGCCTATCATCTCTTTTAGAAGTATTAAAAGAATATGTAAGTTATATTGCTGATTTTTAACACAGTAACAACTCTCTAATTTGACCTGAAATTCTGTTTAGGCTCTGTAATGCAGATCTACTTTAATTTTCAATGTGAGGCTGAATTATATCCTAATATCAACACTGGTTGATAGTGCTGTGTGCTAATGCTAAAATAAATGTATAACATACAATAACAATGTATAACATATATAACAATGAGAGATTTGAAAAGTCAAGAAAAGTATGCCCTGAGCACAATCAGATAAATTGAGTTATGCATCATGTTCTACAGCTTCTCCTATCTTACATTTTTTCCTATTATCAATCTCAGCTCTTTAATGTTAGTTGCCAATAACCTGAACCCTACTCGAGCCAGTAGCTTGCAGTTGTGTATCCTATGACTAAACCAGTTACCTTAAGGCAAAGACTTTGCAAGACTTCCATCCTGATTATTTGCTGCAGTCATATCAAGATGTTCCATGAAGCTGAAAGTTTGAGAAATGTTACCGGTACCATAAATTAATATTTTCCAAGGTTCTGTTTTACAGAACTTTTGTTTAATTGGAACCATAATGTGTATCTGAACACGAGTCTATTTGTATTTTTATGCTGCAATCTGCAGCTGCAGCTGTTTCTGTTCACTTCTTAGGATTCTTCARAGCTGGTGCTCTATGAATGAGGCCATAGATGACAAGGAGTGTACAACCTTGCCTAGGCAGCAAGTAAAATCTTCCTTGCAAGCCAGTCAGTGCACCGAGATATACCCAAAGCACTGAAAAGAACAAATAACATGAGAGGAAGTAAAAAAATGCTGCCGGCTGAAAAGTCATGATGATTTAAAGTTTACAGAACTCATCTATCCTTTGAGTTGCACCAAGGATTAATGGAGGCCAGTACATGCATTTCTGAAGGAATAGGTTGTAAATTATTGAACAATTCATTTCTCCCATATTTCCAAACAGGCAGTAGGTCAAGTTTAAACTACTTTAGAGAGCTCCTCATTCCTTTTTTTGAAATCTCTGTGCAAAGTGAACAGAGCAATTTAAGGTAAAGCAAATCTGAAGTTACGTGGGAAGAGTATTAAAATACACGTGAAAGTGTAAAAGRAACAAGTTTTATAGACAAGAATTTTCCTGCTCATCTCAAAGGAGTTTCTTCTTCCCATTTTGACAGAAAGCTGCTACCTACAAGAGCAAATATATAGGTGATACAACTACCCAGTGTTCTAAAATAAATTTTTATACCATTATTCATTCAATTATGTACTATTTGATACAACAATACTAAGATATTTAAAGATTTCTTGCAAAGATTAACACAGAAAGTTGTTGCATTTGGGCCTTGTTGTGGAAACATTTTATCTGCATTATATTGGACTGATTATATAGGAAGGCTGCTTCAACTGATGTGTCTAATCCTAAAAGAAATACAGAGCTTATTAAAAAATACAAAATCCAAAGTTATAAACAACTAAATAGTATATTTTATATTTACACTATGAGTTAGAATTTCAAATGCATCAGTATTACTGAGCTAAATCTCATTAAAAGAACATTGGGATTTGGTTCTCCAAATGCCTTTTACAATCGGACATCGGAGCACCCAGACACAGTGGCCTGCAGGGCACAGCTTTGCTACTGTCACAGCTTTTTCCTTGCTCTGCACTGGGAATGTCAGCAGAAAGGCTACTGATAACTGTGCTGAGTAAACTGCTTATAATCATGTGATTGCAGCCAGAATGAATGGAGTCCCAAATCTGCTTTCTATGCTTTGGGTGAATACACAGTGCTGAGGGTGTATTATGATCATATGTGCAGGTTGCACAGCACATGAAGATAATAATTGAAATAGCTGCAATTTCAAAGCTTCAGAATGCCTCTAAGAACAGAAAGGAATGGAGGATGCAAGAGACAAGAATAATAACCCATATTTTACTCAAGCCAGACAAATGCACAGTTGACTTTGGTTTGTTGTTGTTTTGTTTTGTTTTTTTTAATAAAAGTTGCAAACATGTAAGTTAAAGTAACTAAGCTCATACTTACTATTATTTTATCACTGCTTCCTTCGTGTACTGAGGATAATTTGTTATCCCGTTCACAAAGGAAAGGGTATTTTTGGATAACTGCAAGGCTTCAGTTTCTGAAGGAATAATCTGAAAAGCATGAAATCTGTGATAATATAAAGAGAACTTCCAAAAGTATATMATTTATTAATGACTGGTACGGAACTCTAGTTAAATGACTCTCCTTGCACTGAACTGTTTAATTCCTAAAAAAAAATGGAGATCTTGGTATTCTTATCAAAGGGAGCCCTAAATCTGACAAACATGACCAAGAAGAAACCTGAMAAGGCTACCTTTATCTTTCACAGAGATGTTGTTTCATGACAGAACAGGTCAGAATGAAAAGTCAGTAAAGGAAGTTATGGAACATTGTTAGCTGGCAGGTTATAAAACGGGTCCTAGTAGAGGTCATATTATCAAAGGCATCATTCTTTTCCCATTGCTTTCTTTTGATGAGTATATTTATCATTGTTTTTTGTAGTGAGCTAATGTTACTAGGTGATAGCTTTTTAAGTAACGTTGCTGGAAAATTTTCAGTAGAGGAGTTTGCATTTTGAAAATGATTGTCACGGAAATTAAATGTTTTATAGAAATTTAACAGCAGTGCAACATTTTGAAGGCAAATAAAGGTACTCAAAGCAACGCTCCATGTTTTGGGTTGATAGTGCTAGATGTTTCATTCAAAAAGTATAAAATRCCTTTATTTACATTTCTATTTTTAATAGTTATGTTACGTTAATATATGTTTAGTATTAGCATAYTGAAAAAGGGAAATTAATTAATCAAAAAGATCTAATTCAGGGAAGATTTTTTTTCTTTACATCAGATAGTAATGATAAATTGCATTCTATCTCTTGTGTGGAAGTGCAAGAATCAGTGGATACAATGAGATCTCAGCATCCCTCAGTTTAAATAYGAAATTTCTTGTGTGAAGAGAGTGTTTACTTGGGAAGGAACTGGTCTGCATACCCTACCAAATATACAAAAGAACTTTTTTTAAAATTTAGATAGAAGGACTTAATCCATAGTTACTTTTTAGATAAGATATGAATCACACATCTATCAGGAGTACTTAGTTGATTGTGCTACTTGGTAAAGATTTTATTGTTATATCATAGCCTGTTAGAAGTCGGGCACTCCTTGAAGTTGACCACAATGCATGTTCAGCAGGAATTATTCTTTTTGACATAAGTGCTAGGTATAATTTGTTGTTTCCAAAACATAATTTTGTCCTTCTGTTCCAGAAAGAGTATGTGCTTAATGCGCATATGATGGGCATATTGCTGTATATATAAATAGCTTTGATTTACTAAAAAAGTGGTCATCAATTCATTTTTTTTTTTTTTTCACAAAGAATGTGTCAATTATAAGATTTTTTAAGTGAGTGTTTAATTTTACTAATTGACAGCTGGCTATACTAATTGTGATTTGATCTGGGTTTTGTTCTGTCTCTAAAGGAATGAAGACCTCGATAACCTCAGGAAAGTGAATCCAAGTTCTTTCACAAGTGACAAGGAGTAAGTCTTCAAAGTTCCTCAGGCCCTTCTTTTCTAAGGCAGTGAGTAGTTTGCAACCAAGAGAATGTCAGGAAAGGTAATGTTGCTAATCTGTAAAATGTTTCTAGATTAATAAGTAGCATTCCTCATACAGAAAGATGAATTTAAAAAACAGATTAATTCACTGGCATGTGCACTATCAGCTGAACAAGTACTATATATGGCAAACTTCCTTGCATGCCTTATATGCTTGCACAATTCAACTATTACTGAAATATTTTGATATGGTTAGAGAAGGAGCAGTAAACAAAATATTGTAGAATTCATGGACGGTAAGCATTGCCCAGCAAGGTGTAGCAAAGCATTGCAATCATCAAGGGAAGTGATCCATAGAGAGCAGCTTGAACTGACTTTTTTGAATTGTGTGTCAGTTCAATGAGTTTCAAGCCAAGTTTCTGGAGTTCTGCAAGCAGCCCTTCAGCACAGAGAAAGGGAGGAACTGGTAGGATAATGTGCTAGTGAGAGCTGTAATGTTTGTCGCTCCAAGCACTGATATTCTACAGAAAAATTTTCAAAAATCATGTTTTGAACAGTAACAGCACATAAATGTTGCCAACCTGTGATCATCTATGTTACAGTAGACAAWCTTACATATATGCACACATACACATGCATATAGATACGCATTTAGCACTAAACTCTAAATTTAGTATCTTTTTTTAAAAAAATGTWAACTCACAGAGAATTTATTAGGATAGAGTCCAAGGCTTTGAGGCACTACTGAATTTTAGGAGTATCCAAAATTTTAAGCATATCAGTCTTAAAACTGACATGACCAAATTATGATTTCCACAGAGCTAACTTGACCTTTTGTTTTGCTCTCCACTTMTACCAAAGAGAATCATGGGGTTTTTCTTATAGTAGTTACAGTACTTTTCATAAGTCATTTAATTCTCAAATTCATTGAACCATAAAGAAAATAGAAGAAAACCTAGGCTCTAGTTTAACTGTATTTATGAAATCAAAGGAAATGATTCCTTATGTGAGAATATATGAGTCTTTGGATATTAACACTTTCAGTATAAATACAGGCATGGTCAGTGCTTTAATTGTTAACCATGGTGACACATTAAGGTAATTTCTTTTCATTCCAGAAGCAAAGTTTTGGACATTTGGCCATATATTTATGTGTTATCTTATGAGGAGCTAAAGTTTCTTAGTTTAAATAAAAATTTATTTTTGTAGATAAATGATGCAGACATAGATTAAGCTACTTGGAATTTGTAAATTAGTTCCGAATTCTTTGAAAGTTTATGATTCTTCTTCACTGTCTTCACTGACAAATAACAATCTTCAACTATGACACTGTTGCAATTTAAAAAAAGCATTTTTATTTTCTTGGATGTACTGGATAGTAATTTTTACAAATAAATAAATTATRCTGAATTTTACCTTGCTCAGGGAAAATTATAAACATATTTTCTTCAATAACATAGGTGTTTGCAAATTTTGAACATATAGTTAATCAAAAACTTACTTCTTTTTCTCTTTAATGTGTGCATAAATATATTTCTTTCTTTTATGGCACTTTATCTCTTCCTACTTAGGGGGAATATCTTAACAGTTCTATTTGGGTTTTTTTCAGAGRAAAAGAGCTTCCAGATTTGACTGAAAAAAATACTGCTGATCAAAAAAATAAGAGGCAAGCCTTTCATAATCTTTCCATTATGTACTCATAAAATATTTATGGTTGACTGGATGTTAGTATTAATAAGTTCTGTTCAGCAAAAATCATTAGATTTTTGCTTGTGTTCAAATGAGAACCACAAYGACATTTTTTCAAACTTAAACAATTGCCAATGGGTAATGTTTTTCATTAGAGAGCATTTAATAGCAATACTAATGTAAAAGTATATTTTCTATACATATGTTAATATATGAAACTTATTATATTAAATCAGCTTTTTTGCAGCCAGTGATGGATGAGTTACTGGTATMAATGTGGCCACATAGACCTAGAGATCATATATAACTCTAGATAACAGCAGTTGGAAGACAAATTTTGGGCTGAATATAACAAAGCAAGGGACACACTTTGGCAGCCCTTTCCACAGTTTGTGATACTGATGCCTGAACTGAATTAAAGTCTGTTATCAAGCTAAAGTGACAGAGCCACAGCCAGACTGGAAGGTGTAGGCAGGACATCCGCCTGTAGAATGGCAGCACAATGTGGCACAGTGGCCATGAGTTGAAACAGGAAATATTCTGACTGGATATACGGATGACTGTCCAGCAGTAGAGCAGCTTGGAGAGGTTGTGCCATCTCTCTCCTTGAAGGTTTKCAAGACCTAATTAGACAAATATTTGAGCACCCTGGTCTGACTTCAGTGCTACCCCTGCTTTGAGCATAAGATTGGACCAGAGAGGTCTTGAAGTCCCTAAATTCCAGCAGTATCCTACAATACTATAGAGAACTTGGCATTTTTGAGTCATTTTTAATTCTTTTGCAGTCACATTGGAAAGAAACTGAAAAATATTGAAGCCTGACCRGATAACTACTCACTGTAGTCAGGAATCTCACCTGGGAAATGCATACAGTTTGTTTCTTTTCCTTCAACATAAATAATTGAGTCCATTTAACATGTTTAGATTAAATAAAATGCATCTATTAATTCTGAGGTTTTTCTCMCTTTCAGAGGTGAGGACCGTGGTGATCACACTGAAGTAAAGTCTTCTGATGACCAAAGTAAAMTGCGGTGAGACTCAATTCATAGCTCTCTTTAAAGATCAAATATCAAGAGGTGTAGCTGATTAGTAGTACCAGAAAATGTGAATTCCTAATACAAGCAAACAGAATTTGCCCAATGTGACTAAGATATCTGTATTATTCTAAAATGTGCCTGATTAACCAAATATAACAATCAAGTTGCATGTATTTGGATAAGCAATGACTCAAACCTATAATCTCTTGTGGAGAATGAAAATTACTAGTGACAAGATCCTCCTAAGTATTTTTGTGCTTGTCTAAGTGTTCTGTGAATTCAGCTGCTGGCATTTCAAACAAATAAAAGTAACTGCATTCCTAGTATAAAAGCTTCACTGCTACTAGATTTCATTATTTACAAAAGCAAGAATCCATTTTGGTCAATTAAAGTGATGTTAGTAGTATGCTTTTAGTTACTGTTCTGATGGTATCTTTTTGAGTTTTCTGTTTATTTGTACACTCACATGAAGAGGAAGAACTTAGCTATCTGTATACATAGACAGTTTTCCTATTTTTTTATAGAAAATATTTTTATCCCAGCAGTTCCACTTGACAGTCTGACCAGGGAAGCAAATACTGAGCATCTACAGTGAATGAGCTTCTSTTTCAGTTCTGTCAGGGGCCTGCCCCATCAGGAGTCGGGCACAATAGAGGCGCTGCTTCTTGCAGCACYGCTCTGCATATAAAGCACCACAAGTGCTGAGTGAGGGTCGTTCAGAGGAGTCTGAGTCCTTGGCAAGCTCACTGAAATAATCAAGCTGYAGCCCACACATCCAGAGTTAAAGCATATAATGATCACGTTGTTCCAGGATATAACCTTTGGCAGAACTAAACAAGAGCAGCCTTTGTCTGTCTGAACTGCTTTGTAAAATCATCAAAAACATTATTAGCATTTATTCCATAAATCCTATAAATCGTATGACAAAGTTTATTATGTTGGTTTGCTTTTCATGTTTGTGGCAGGGAAAACTGCAGGAGAAAAGGATTCTTTTCCTTGAATCATAGTCCTGCTCTTTGAAATGAGGCTACATACCTGTTTAGTTGGCCATTTCTAATTAAAACACAACTGYAGTGTATTGAAAAAGAAAGAAAATCTGGAACTAAAATATAGTAATCCTAAGAATAAAACACTATTTTATTCTGACAAGATACTGGCAAGAAAATACAGAATGCTATCCACAACTGAGACATAATTGCACAGTTGAAAACCCCAGTGGGCACTTTGAGGAAACTAAAGTTCAATTAAAGTTAGATGAAGTTTCCAATAGGAATATATCTGAATATATCAGCATAAACTGGAGGACTTAAAATTATAGGTCAGTGACTGCATTATTTTTCACTAGCAACAATGTAACAAAAATAAGATAAGTTTCTTTTACCTACTTTTTCTAGTCCAAGAAAACGTTTTCTGCATTCATGAGTGTGAGTGTAAATTAAAACTGTGTAGCTGCAAATGATTTCTAAAAAGTGGTTTTCTTGATGTGTGGTTTCTTTTCTATTTTAGGATTATTGAGAAAGCATATGAAAATTCTGCAAAGGCTCCAAATAATCTCCCAGAAATAAACTACTCTAGTGGCAGTGAAAGAAAGAACAGGTACTGTGGACAATGAACTGAGTACTGTAATGCCTAAAGAGCCATTTCTTGAAAAAAAATTATGCAAGAAATTTCAGGGATGCTTAGAAAGATCCCATTGGTCTTTGGAATCCTGTCAGCCCTTTCCAAATCTGCTTCCAGATCCCAAGCACAGAAGGTCACAATCCTAACTCTAGCGTGCAGAGTGGGGAGCACAAACAAGATGCACCCTGTGTAACTCTCGAGATGCAGCTAAAACTGTGGTCAATGTCCTGATCCTTAACCTTATGCACACCTGAGCCTTATTGTGGATATGAATGGCCACAGGACCTTAATCTCTAATATTCTTACATTTGCTGTAGGAGCTTAGAGTGCAGCTGAAATTTCTGTGTTCTGAAAATTCTGCATGACCTTGAAGGACAACCCCAGAAATTGGCTGAGAATAAAAGCAAAACCAAAGCATTCAATTAAGACTAAAAATGAATACTCAACAGAAAATTTAATTAGCATTTTTCAGAATTCTGAAATCATACAGGCTCTGAGTTGTAACATTCTGGTTATCTTTGAAAGTTAAAATAGAGAACAGTAATACAAGAATGTCAGGGCAAGGAATGTGCTGCAATATGCAATGTTACMTTACACTTGACAGAATTTATACCCTCTACCTGAAGTTCTAATCCCAATTTAATTAATGAAAATTTATTAAATGAATAGTCTTCGTAGGTAATTCTTTCAGGTTTTTATGCAATAGGTTCTACAGAGTATTTACTGTTGAGTAGTTTGCATTGTGAACAAGTCACACCATAGCAAGTAAAGGAGTGACTGATACGAACTGAAAGAAGGGACGTGATCAGATGCACAGTTCTCAGACTACACTGTGACTCAGTTTTCACTTGGTGTCTCGTCAAGCTGTCACACTATGCATTTATTTAAATGTTCTGAGTTGCCTTGCACTTCCAGTTGACAAGGTTAGAAACTGATGCTTTGGAAATATTTTTGCTGTAGCYTCAGCACTTTTTGTTTTATACACTTCATTGTGTGTTTTTTCCTAAGGTGTGGTTATATATATTTTTGTGTATTTCAACCATAATACTTTAAAAAATCCAAAGGATGCTGTTCTCTACACGACGACACTCAAGAAAAGTATTTTTTTCTATACAATTTCCAGTAAGATAGTGTTACTTTCAGGCATGCAACACGTTCATACCCATATTATGTTGAGTGTGCAATGCACTGCACTCACTTTGCCAGAGATTCCACAGTTGAATACAATGAGTTAAATGGATGATTTGGGCAAAGTAAGCTTTACAACAAAAAAGAAGCACAGGCTCATACTTTACAGGAACAGAGAAATKATATTCCTATGCCACTTTTCACTGCAGCAAGAAACTTTAGTCAATTGCATTACCAGTRTGCTCACTCTGTGACGTGTTGTGCACATGCTCAGTCAAGGCTAAAACAGCCAGAGAAACCCTTTYAAAAGGTGATCACTTAGCTTTAACTTGTATTCCTACTTAGTAAGCTTACTTTCATCTCAYCTGAAATGTAAATGGAGCACTGGGTGTTCATTTGAGGAGATACTTCCTSTGTGGTGAGCAAACCCAGGTTTGCTACATTCTGATTAAATAACAAGCACATTATTTTTTTTCCCTATGAAACATAAATAAAACATTTATCCTTTCAGCTTACCAGTAACRGTGCAATTTAAATACATTTCTGTCATTGCACAGAAATCAAATAAGACATATGTACTTCACAAAATACAGATATGTAGAAAAGAGTATCTGAGCTTCATAATGTCTTACACACACATGTTATCAATCTATTTCCCTGAAAATAAYCCAATGTCTGGTAAATACACATGATTATAAACGACTTCTCCTAACGTTGCAGAACATTATTCAGGAGTTATATGAGACATGCAGTAATTACTATATACCTTAAGAATTTCTGGAGAATAGGATAAATAAAACAATTCAGAAATCTTCAAAACATGCATGGCAAGATTACTTCTTCAGCTGCCACATACATGCTCATCCCTTCCATGGAAACAAAACTGACAGTTAAGTAACTTGGAAATGGGACAGTTAAAAATGGAAGATTTAACTTCCCTGATAGTTTAATTCAGTATATTCTTCTCTGATAATAGGAACAATACAGTTACTGTAGTGAACACAAATCACACACTGAACAGCCTGTAATTTAAAGGCCCTCACTCTAAATCTAGGGACATGTTGTAATTTTTTTKGCTGTTTCACAGCTCTTTGAGTACAAGTGAAAGAAGCAGAGGGGGAAAAAAAGTAGTCTGTCACCTATTTCTGGTATGTATCATTAGGCTGAGATACCATCATGTAAATTTTGCTCAATAGACTTCTGGATTTAATTTTTAAAGGCTGAAAAACCACTCAAAAATAGAACACAGTCTAAGGACATTATATTTCTAATTTACACTTTTTATTTAATATATTATTCTTGATGGTTGTGAAAWAAAACAGAAAAAGAACTCATCACCAAGTATGATTTTTTTTACAAGCATATTGTCTTAGTTTATTTTGCATATTATCAACAGTGTAGTAAAACCTTTAAAAATGTGGTACTGTTTAGTGATAGCCATGCACTCTCTGCTTCACAGCAWATCATCATATGGTGCATATGAAGACAATATAACTGGAAATACTATCAAAACTGTTTATTCTACTTCTGATCGGTAAGTACACATTAATGACATAGTAGAGTACCAAAGCACACAGACATTTACATAAGCATTCAAGTCTTCAGACAAAAGAGAGCAGTGGAAATCACCAYCATGAGACAGCTTTTCATACAAAGCTCTCTTTTAGTGAGACCTTGCCATCAAATCTTTACCACAGTTCAGCAGCCTAATATTATATTAGGCTTATCACAGCTGACATTTAAAAATATCTATAGAAAAAAGACCCAATGCCTTTTGTGACAGTTAGCTTTGTGATTTGGTAGGTTTCTATCTTACAAAATGAGCCATTTAAATGGCTCTCTGCAAAATTTCCTTCCTTTGTGAGAACAGTCTTTATAATGACCAAATTTATGTACAAACGTGGAGGAATTGGTTCACATGACAGTCCTGTTGAAAACTATGTTTTCACACCAGTTAAGACATTCCTGAATATATGTAGGATATTTGCTCAATCAGTAATAACTCACCTTATGGAGAAAAAGAAGTTAAATGTGCCCACTATTTTCAGTTTAGATGCTTGGACAGCCCTGCAACTTGAAAATACCAGATTAGAAAAGCTTGAATCCTTTCCAACATAAGGATAAGGAACTCTGGGTATGATCCAATATTAGTACATTGGTTTGTCACTGAGAGGAAAGGACCAAGACCCATCGATCTTACAATGCTAAAATAACACCAACAGTTGTATCCAGATAAAGTACAGAATGATGTCATRTAAGAAGGCAATAAGAGATGAAACATTTTTTAAAATTATTGTCATGAGTACCAGGTAGGCTGTTCTCCACATGTGTTCACCATAACTGCCATAAAGGTATGAGTTCTGTCAGCAGTGCAGAAAGTCAAATAAGTTTTCAGGCTCTTCTGCAACACACAGAATTCTGTGAACCAGACTAATCAAATTATGGCAGTTTGAACCAGACTGATCAATCCATGGCAGTTGGAATTCAACAACTAATTTACTTTTGTGATTAAAACATTAGAATTATTCCCCTCCCCTTTACCCCTGTTTAGTATACAWGGTCCCAGACATTCAGCAGCTCACCAGAGAAGACCATTCTTTCTACTAAGGTATTTTTGTTACTTGACAATTATGCTCAGCAATTTGCTCATCACAGGAGCATGTGTATGACACCTGTCAACTAGAATGGAGAGAATACACAAATGTCATTTTTTCAYTAATGGCCATTTTACAGTATACAAATGTCTTTCCCATGCAGTGTGCTAACCTTATCAATTTTCTGCTTGAGATGTCAATGGCAGCTCTTTTTCTGACAGCTGATATTATATTATATACACAGGAGTATAATTGGAAAAGATATATGTACATACTGCAGGAAGCCCTTGGGCATAGATGCCAAAATGATCTTAGATGCCTTGCAAATTTACTGTCATTCGACTTGCTTCAAGGTAAGAACATTTCACCTGCTACCAAGAAATATAATTTGATTATAATATCTGCATTATAGTACACATMTAATAAGAGATTATTTAGGCCTTAGGCCTTCTCCACCTGTAAGAATAAGAAGACTTTCAACTGGAGGAGAGGATTAATGCAGGAAATACTAATCTCTCTGTTKCCCTCTCTTCCCTACACAATACCTTCCTTTTTCTTTTTATCTCATTCTCTCCTTCTCCCTCTACTCTCCTTTTCCTTGCCTCTCCTCCCATCAACCATAAGCATGATAAAGGATGCAGCTGAATGAATTCTTAGAGTCCTATACATTTATAAGCCTTCACGTCAAATCTAATACAGTGAGTTATATCAACTTACACTTTCTTCATATTGTAAAATTTAATTCAGTTTTTTTKAAGTTTTGTAGAAGTTCATGATTGAAGCCTAAAACAGTCTTGATTATTAGAAAATAGGTAATTTTTTTCCTATTTCCAGAAGGAATTTTTTTTCTGCTTATAATTCCAAACCTCAAGCCTCAGCCTTAATTTTGCTCTTTTCTCAGAGTATGCCTGGCAATGTTCAGTCTCAGAGTTTGTTTTCTTTCTGCCTCATTTGTCCTATTTCTGCTTGCATCTACACACAGAGATTGTTGTTCGAACAAACAATACTGGCAAAATCACTGCATTAGCATAGCTTATATTTCTGCCCAGTCCTGCATAGCATTTACTTCTGCTTCTGACAGCAGTTTTTGACAACACTTACTGCTTGAAAAGTAACACGAAGCAAATACAGAAGTGAGGTTGCACTTCACATGTAGGAAGCTGCATGTGCTTTTTGTTTACTATGGACTTTCTCAGCTCTATGGGCACCAGAAATGCTATTTTTTCAGTGGAAGCCACTATGAAATACCTCCTCAATACTACTACTGCACATAAATATAAGGTCTGGTTTGCTTCCATGCTTTTTAGACAGATCAACCCAAATAAAGAAGAATGGGCTTTTAATGACTTTGGATTATTAACGTATTGGTGTTGGCTAAATTATCTGCTAAATATTTCTGCTTTTTTTTTTAATTGTATCTTTTTTTGTTACATATTCACAACTGGGGACCTGTCTGGCCAGCAATATTCAGCTTAACTTTTATGTAACTACAAACTTATGAAAACATTAAACAACTGATGTAGGTCTGGAGTTCATGCTTGCAGTTATGTATTTAGCTAAGTAGTGTAATTTCTCATCATTAATATTCATTTAGCTCCTTACAAATACTCAGTATCCATTAGAGATTTGCACATAGCTGACAGAACTAAAATGTCTTCATTTCCTTGTAAAGGTATATGYCAAAAGTTCAGGGACTAAATAACTCAAATTGTAGATTTTTTTTCCTCTGTATAAAAATTCTAGCTTATATTTGTGATCAAAGCTTGGAAAACATGGCCACCCTTTTGCTGATTTAAACAAAGAACTATAAAATCAATGAAGCAAGCAGATTGTTTTAACAGCACCTTAATACTAAAGCTGATTTTCACTTATGAGTGGATTAAATACTCAAAGAAATAAAAATTTATTATTTTTTATTTGATTTAAATGCATAAATAAGTGAATAAATAAATAAATAAATAAATAAATAAATAAATAGATAAATAAAATTATCTGGATATCCAGATCCTAGTTTCTGTAACAAATCACCATGCTCCAGGATCCACTGTAGGCTTTTCTTGTGATCTTGACAAGTCATCCTCTCTGTGTATTTCTGTATTTTCATATGTGAAACATGAGCAATGCTTCTCTATCTCAAAAATTAGCTCTTTTGAGATATKTGTAAAAGCAGTGTCCAGATTCTGCAAGAATAGGAGTCATAGTTAACTGTTAAGATAAAGTGTAATAAAATATTTTGAAATAAGAAGGTCTGGATTATTTAAGATCTACTCTGAGTTGGATAATTATGTGTGATCATTCTTCCTTTACTCAGTGAAGAAAAAAATGGATCTCAAAATGGTGATTAATCTTATTTTAGGATAAATCCCTAAGCTAAGTGAAAGTACCCTTTGGAAATGTCTGGGAGAAGGACAGGGATGCTGAATGCAATGAGTACCTATGCAACCAGTTGAGACACTGCTATTTGATTTTCAGATGCCTAAAAGTGAGATGAAACTTCCTGTTCACTAGAACTACTCTTTCAGAGTTCAGTTTTTATATTGCAACACTAATAACTCCTATTCTGGTCTGGGACTTGTTTACTAAAGGAAAGCATGCTGGATATGAGTATTAGAGAAATGCTTCATTTTAATTTTCTCCTATTTTTTATGTGTGTGTTGAAGTGTGAAGTATGTAAGAGACCTCTGGAAGACCTAAAAGCAGGAGACAGCATTTGGATTTATAAACAAACTGTGCACTGTGAGCCTTGCTATTCCAAAGTTAAAGGTATGGTACAAGATGTGTTACACTGAATGTTGGCAATACAATTTAGTGAACTTCACTCAAATGACTTCACTATATCACAACACAGCTGCTGCTTTTGCTCATTTCTGTGCACTTAAACCTTTTCAAAGTATCTAATTCAGTAAGTCTGTGTGCTTAGGATGATATCCTACCCCAGGTTCTAGACACAATTATTCTGTATCTGTGAGGGAGATCTCGGTCTCAGTCTAAGTTCATCTCTTCAAGTCTCTCTGTAGAGTTGTACCTGTGCAATCAATAGAGACACCTAGAGTGAGGCAATGACACCTTGCCCTGGAAATGAAAATAAATTGTAAGGCCATCTGAGAATTACATTGTTCTACTGAAAGAAATAAGCTAGGGTTCARAGGTACTTTCACCTAGTGGAGTAGTTGTGACCACTAGAGAGAAGATACAAGATCTATGAAATCATAATGAAAATATTACACTGTGTTCATGATTCCTACGTTTGTGAGGAGCAAAGTGAGTAAATAAAAGTGCAAGGCAGAGACAAATGAACATTTTGATTTTTAATTTTTCTAGAAGTTGCTAGATTTTAAGTCTTCTCTCTTCACGGCAATTACTATTTCATATKACTCTAAATCAGTACCTCTGTACCAAATGAAGACAGAGATATAGATAAAATGCTCTGATAAGTTGGTCTTCAACTACATAATTCTGAGATAAGATCATGTTAATTAAAATCATATTAAATTTTTTTTTTCTTAAAACACTTTGTGTTATTAAGCCATAATAATAAATATAATGGGAATGGAGAATTTTACAACTAATCAGATCATACAAGTAATAAGGCATTGTAACAATTGCAAAACTGTAGAAAGACATACCAAGGGTCTGTATATTAAGCATAATAAATAGAGATATCAGATTTCAGTAGACCTTCTAGAAAAGAAAAAAAAAATATCTAAAGTTTCCTTGTAGGACATTTAGAGTGTACTGCTTTGCTTGGCATCTCTGACTAATCTTTTCTCTCTTGCAGAAAAATGGATCTACTAATTTTGACATACAGAACACATGATGAAGAAGTTCCACTGTTGTTTAGTTGAGTGTATTGGCCTGTTAACTCAAAATACTGTGGGGAATTATTCATTYTTACTGCTAGGAATTTTCTAAATAAAGTCCTACTGCATGGTTATCAAAGGAATTAATTTAATGAGAATTTAGATGCGCTTTCATACATGCATTGCAGGAAGCAAAGAAAGATATTGGTCARTATATTTCTCTGTGAAACCACTAAATTGTATGTAAAACCAATGATAATTTATTGAAATTTTCTGAATGTCAGGACATTACTACACTTTGTTTTGAAGGGGCTGTATTCTCTTTTGTGAAAGCATATCTCCTCCAATATAAAGATCTGTTGGCTCAATATAGAATGAATGGGATTTATCTCATCAAAATTAGTCATTTAGAAGTCAGCTATTTAGTTCAAACTACTGGTTTAATTCAGAGGGAAGTGGTTTCATACTGCAMCTTCATGGAGGGACATCAACCTCCAGATGAAGGTTCTTTCCAAGTCACTTAAGTGATAAGTTTGAGATGGMACAACTCATCTTTGGAAAATGCAACTCTATGACTGCAGAAGGGTTCTAGACAAAAATTGCTAGAGGGTTTCAAGTAGAACTATCCCGCTCCACATTTGTAATTCTGGTAATTATTTMATCACAATTGTTTTAAGAAGTGCACACTTAATAGTGGCCATGAAATAATGAAATACATACTTTGCATGACATTATGTTGTTGTATTTATCTTTCCTACTTTATTAAACTATCTAAACACTTTGGATGGCTTCATCTTGACTAAATTTATACATCTACAGTGTAGACATCTGTTTCTGAGTTACTTGATCTATTTTGTCTTATATAGATAAGCAGACATTTTTAGAAAGCAGTTGAATTGATCAGATTGCAAACATCTATTTACTGTGATGTTAACCATGAATGAAGGTACATCTTACTTCCATGATTTGCAAAGGAACCTGGAATGAACAGCTCAGATTTCCAGACATCTACACTACGTGAGATACACTCCTTCCTTTGAGACTACAGTGACCGCATTTCTTTTTCCTTTTGATAAGTGTATGTGTATACAAGTATAGAAACTGAAAGAAAAAAATTGTTATAATATATTGTTATATAATAATCAATAGTTCAGTAGCTTACTGGACAGACAAAGGTATTTGTCTTTGTCATGAGATGCTTTAGATTATAGTTATTCAGAACTGATTCTTCTGCCTTACATCTCAGTTTAAAAGACTTCCTGGCTATGACCATGACAGAGCTAGAGTGTTTGGAGGCTGCTGGACCTAAGCAAGAGCTTAGAAGCATGCAAAGTATTAAAGCCACAGATGAATAATAGACTGGTGAGTGGCTGTCCCAGTCAAACTGTCTCTCCCAGACTGCACATTTCACGGTGSAGGCAGGAGGTATGGATGTCCATGTCATTTAAACCATTGGGCCTGAAGCTGAGTAAAAACGTAACCTGTCTTGTCTGGCTTGAAGGATATTCAGACTGATTATACAATGGAGACATGAGACAGTAGACATTTTGTTTTGTTATTTTTATGAATATCTTATGAATTAATTTCAGTAGGTTTAATAAATCTTTAATTATTGGTACTTTTTTCCTCATGTGCGTCTCTTGCTGATGACATATCCTATTTAAACTATACTTGTTACAACTGTGCTTCACCAGGAAACAATGATATTTACATAACAGGAGAAAAAAGTAGTGGCAAAATTTTAATGTCAACAAATTTTGTCCCATTGAGAGATCAATAGCGATTGYTAGAGCCCAGTTACAATGGAAGATGTTAGATGTTTACTTGAGCCAGCACATCAGAATCTAGGACTTCCTAGTGTTTGAGGGGATGAGAGATTTTAGTCCACTCCCCTAGAGACCAGGAGCTCTGAATGAAAATATCTTCTACTTAAATGCTCACTGGCAGAGAAATAGCAATAAGAAACAATAAATAATAATTCTGTGCTCATTAAGCCATCCTCACTGAACAGCCCTGGTAATTTTGTCATGTGGTTTTTTTTGTTATTTTTTTATTATACGCTGTAAGCTGGCTAAGAAGAAACACCAGGTTTGTTATTTACCATATAAAATCTGGCATAGTAGTACTCATTAAAAAAAATCGTATTAACATGTCARTACCAATGTATCAAAACTTAAATGTTTTTTGTCCTTTTTGCATATCATTAGCTTGTARTGTTTCATTTCCCTTTGACTAGTGCTTCCATGAAACAATCCAAATGAAGAGTTTGCTGGCAGCTGTTTTAATGAATGTGTTATCTTCAATAATGCATTAAATTAGACTGAAAAGCTGTATTGAGAGATGATGTACTAAATTATGTGGGGGTTTGTGATTCATCAGGCCCATTTTTTCAGTGCGTAATGGATACTTTATTTTACAAAGCTGGGGCATTGCTCTGCGGGGAGGGGAAWCAAGCAATCAGAGGAAAGGAGTGAAATAATGCATAAAATGCATATTGATGCACTTAAATATGTAGATTGTTTCAAAGCTACTGATATTTCAAGAACAAGCAATGTCATAAGAACATCTTTGCTGTTAATATATTCTGTTGTATCCTGTATAGATTCTCACAGAATGCTCAGCCTCAGAATCCTTCTCTATCAGGGCTTGACACAGTGACAAACATCTGTAACACTGACTTCTCATCCTCTTTCTCTTGCAATAAACATCACTGTGAGTTTGACAACACATACGCTGTTACTTCACAGTCTCCTTAGCTAGGTTTGTAAAGTACTACATCAAATGGAACTTGCATTTAATCCACAGGTCACCTCTATTCCTTGTTTATTTAAATACAGTTGTGTGTAGTGCTGGGACGGATTCATGCATTTGGTTTATTTACTCAGAATAATGTCAGAACTCTGCTACACTGCTTGTATTCCTTGATATTTCATGTTTTACATAATCGTGTTGTTTAGAATGAAAAGTATCCGCTCTCTTGGCTGGTTTTGCTTTCTAATCATACTTTTATATTGCTCATTGTAGCTATTCTGTTACACCAGGAGGTGGTTTCAGCTTTCATTCTAGTTGATGCCAGACTATGAGGCAGAAATGCCTCCTTTTCTTCCTTCTGCTGTACCAAAACACCTCATTTTTATTCACTGCAGAAAAGACATCCATCATTACATAAAGACAAATGATAAAGAGACTTAATACTTAGGTAGGTTTGATATGGAGAAGTCTGAAATTGCTGTCCAAAATAGGTCTGCTTAGCTGCTTAATTGATGAAGAACAACTGAGTTATTAAACCAATCAGGTATTTTTTTCTTTGACTTTAAAGGCTTTTCTTCTCTTTTGTGCTTTGCCTGGTCTGAGCAAGTCAGCTCTAATATCCTGCTTCAATAAATCTAGGACTTACAAACATTCCTTGAATTTCAGGGAGGAGAATCTGCAGATATTTTCAAAATATGCTTGGCACACTCTGCTAAAATCAGACCTTGAACATCTCAGTAACTATCACTTTTTATAACCATGGAGATGGTGTTCTCCTCTGAACAGATGAACTGGGCCCAGAAAGTGTGAGTGCCAACTTCARTTTCTCCCCCAAAATACCTAGGCAGGTTTGTAACACAGTGGGACAGCAAAGTGCATGGAATAAACAAGACATTCCCAGCTGTCTTTCTGCTGTGTTCCCTGCCCAGTGCAGAGTGGATCCTTGTGGCCCATGTTCCACTGAATAGCCACACTGCTTGCACATTCATAATATGCTTATTGATGACTCAAGAATGACAGCTGAATAACAAATACATAGTACTGGGAGCAAAGACCAAATTGTGGAATTTCAACCAAGTGGTCTAATTAATAATTAAAAGCAATGTGAATGATTAGAGGGGTTGTCTACACTCAGATTTGGCTTGAATAGGAGTGGAATTTTGGGGGGTTTCATCTGAAGACTGTTAGAAATGCATCTTCATACAATGATCTCTTCTAAGTCTCAGTATCTTCTTTGTCTTTCCAACCTCTGAGCATTTTTTGGACAGGAACTCTCTCCTGCTTGTGCAGTATCCAGCAMGGCAGTGGCCTCTGGGTGGTACTGCTGCACCTGTATAAATGACCCAAGAAAAATTCAGAGTTCTCCTCCCTTTCCAAGTAAGCTGCTTGGAAATGGAATACTTTTTTCATGGGTTTTTTATAACTGTGTCAGTTATAAGTTGACAGCTACAGTCTTGTAGGCTGTGCCAACACTTAAAAGGGACTGGTTTTGTCCTGTTAGAATCAATATCTGAATATAATCATGCCAAAAGCATTTGTCTGAGTCGTGGCATTGCTGTGCAGTCCTCAGACATCTGTTTAGGGAGCTTAGACAGCTACTGCGGTCAAAACAATGGGCAGCCAACATTTTAAAACTACCTACTCAGGAAAAAAAGAAGACACAATCATTTCTGGAAAGAAAGAACAAACTTTTCTGGCATTCAAGCCATTTTTCTGCATGTTCAAACACTAAAAGAAGCATAAAAGGGAGAAAATATTAAGAAAAAGATGAAAGCATTATGCAAATAAGTCAATTAAGGAATTTTAAAAGTATTAGTGTTGTTGTAAATAATGGTGCCATTGAAATTAATAGTCAAACTTGACTGTAAAATTARTATTTCAGAAAACACTGGTCTATCTTCCTATCTTCTGGATCCTTCAGGGAGATGCCACCCACAGAACTTTCAATTATACTATGTCTGTATGTAGTTGGAATTAAGAATGAGAATCCAGCTAACCATATTTGTAGCACTGTAATTCCAAACAGCCAAATATTTAACAATATTTAGGGTATCTACAGAATTGTATGGCTGATAATGCATTTGAACATTGATTTTATCCATTTACCCAAGGGACATATGTAACAGTTAAGCCTTTTGTAGTGAAACATGTTTTTCACAGCAAAATTCTGTCTGGGAGCAAGCATACCAGTTTTGACATGACTGACATCTGGCAAGCTRAATGAGGAAAGCCAGGAAGGAGCAATATTTTTTCTGCCTTTTCCACTATACTGAGAGACRTCCCAGATACTCAGTCAGAGGAGGGCACATGCTTTGAGAACTGTGGTTTCTGGGTTTTAATTCGGAGACCACCAGGGCTATATAAAAATAGTCTGCCCTCTAACTCAGGATCACAATCTCTTCAGAAGCAAYATAAATGAAACAGGGAGTGGAGATAGCAGGGGCTTTGCTTCTCATAATGTAATTGGAACAAACTCAAGGAAAAGATCYAACTGAGAACACACTCATTTTTTAATACCACAATTCATACACCCTTCATCAATCCAGTGAATGTACTCAAGAAATACCCTTGCTGTACTGCATTTCTTCTATTTTCAAATTGCTTCAGATGGGGCTGATTTTAGACCAGCTCTCCCCCAGCTCTGGAAGTGTGTCTGACACTGAATGCACATGTCCAGGATAGACAAAAGGGAGCCAGAGGGAGAAAGATGGATAGATCCATCACCACCTGTGATAGATCCATCACTGCCTGGGCCCAGGAGTTTAAACACAACCGGAGGAATGGCAAGGGGTTTTACGTCAGCCTAGTGATGTTGCAGGAAAAATCTCAAGTACTCTGCAAATTATACAGTTCATAGAACAGAGGGCCTAGAAAAAAAAGTTTGGACTTAGGTTTTCTAACTCAATTGCCCTCTAGTTTTCTTTGCCATTTTACTGTATCTTTTGTGATTGAGTATGTTACAGATTGTGCAAAGACAAGTTTTTACATGCTATGATTTTTTCCCATCCCATCTGACAGTAAAAACTGAATGATAAATATAAATTACATAGGCTTTTCTTGATATTCAGCAAAGATTTTTGTTTGACCAAACTGAACCTGGATGAAAGTTCAGGTAATTATTTTTTTAAACCATTCCCTATCTGAAAATCTAACACATCCACTTTTTGACACCAGAGAAACCTTTCAAGCAACTGCAAATTTTCCATGTTCTTTTGACATGGTGCCACACAGATGTGCCTTCTCAAACACATTTACTGCTGGACAGAGGGGATTTTGTGTTATTTTATTTTTCTTATATATATCAAACAACCAGTGCTACACATATTGCTATTTTTTTTTTAATTACAACTTCTAAACCACTTTGCAGCATCATAGGGCTTGAGTCTGTTGGCCTATACTTGCTACTATTTTGCAAACTTTTAAAATCACTTATTTATCCACATGATGGACTTGTTAACTTGGATAGTAATTTTTTTCCTCTTTTTTGCAAAGTTGGTGAATTTCTTGAATCTCTTTCCCAACTTTATGCAAAAGGACAAAAATAAAGATGACAGAAGATGAATAAAAGGAAAAAATTAAAAAAAAAATCATAACCAGAATTAGTTGAACCCTTTGGTATATGCATGTCACCATGAAATAAGGCATTTTTCCTGAATCCACTGCCACTGTTGCCTGAAGATAAGCCAATCTGAAATCTGAAGTCTTGGCAGAAGGTGTGTCCTGGATTTTTAGCCTCCTGGAGAGAAGCTGTAGTTCTGTCATTATGATCTTCAGCACTTCACACTCAAACAGCCTTTCAAAAACTTTACTCTACATTACCAGCTTGTTTATTAACAACCTTGAAGACYACATCTCCCCCTTAACCTT